CCCACCCGGGAACAAAGAGCACCAGGAGGTGGATGAGAAGAGGGATTTAGTAATATATACAGTATGAGTGGCCGTGTTGTATCAGGCTTAGCCGAGTGATTGTATATCTGATACAACACGGACACGAATACTGTATATGACTTATCAAATGTCTAGGTTAGTTCCTCTGTGTTTCACTAAAATTTTCAAAATTAAAATGAATTTGGCCAAGAAAATCCAACTTAAAGTTAATGCAAATGAACACAGTTTTGTATCAGATTTACAACACTCTTCACGGTTGTGATTTTGTTGTGTTTTCCTCATGAATTATTAATGAGTTTGATAATATCATTTATTATATAATAAATGTCAAATGTTATGCTCCAAACAATAGGGTTGCTGGCACAAGATGTTTGTCTATGCCACCAAATGAACCACTGACCAATATCGATGGTGAAAACAGAACCAAACTTCTGAATGCCATCAAGGATGTAGAGAGCCAAACAGTGGAAGTACCAGTTATTTGTGGTGGGGAGAAAATTTTCACTGGAAAAGTCAAGTACCAAGTTGCTGTAAGTATATTATTAACCTTGAGTTATATCTGAACCTCAGACCTTGTGTTATATTCTCTTGCAAATAWTTTTTTTTGCTTGATTCAAATGCACACTAATACAAGTGTTTTCTCGAGCATATGCCTTACAAAACAGAGAAAGTGAAAGGGTATACAGTGTAGCTCCAATAGCCAATGTGAACGAGCACAAATCTTTAGCACAAAGCACGATGGAAGCCGAGGACTTATGGTTTTCAGCTCTAAAAATCTCTCTGACAATTTTTCCTTCGACATTTTCAATTTGACAGATGACAATGACAGAGTAATTTTTTCTGATAATTCTATTGATTTCTTTGTTCTAATTTGTGAATTAATCAGTTTCCCATCATGCTTTGTGCTAGAGATTTGTGCTCGTGCACTTTGGCTATTCTCTGCAGCCCTTGTTGGTAGTATTTGACTAGAAGAAGGCATAGCTTAGTTGGTTATTGTGTGACCTCTAGGAGCTACTCTAGAGGTCCATGGTTCAACCCTCAGGATCTCCGCATCTGTTTACAAGTATTCCTTTGTTAAAGCTTTAGCTTTAAATATCTTTTATAAGGAGGACTCCCTAATAAATTGAGAAGGTAAAGGGTAAAGCGTGCACCTTCGAATGCAGTAAAATATTTGCATTTTGACCTCTGAGTCCCAATTGGGTCACTGGTTGGTTGCAAGATTGAAATGGTTTTGTGATGCTTATACAACATAAAATATAAACACTTAATCTTAATATTTGTTGAACTATTCTCTTTTGTAGCCTTATAATCATGCAACCAAGATTGCAAAATTTCACATCGCAGATGGGGTAAGTACGATCTAGTTTGAGGGGTGTGCTAAACAAATTCCTTTTTTGGATTTTTTTTTTTGTGTGTGAAATTTTGAAGAAATTTGTTTGTGTTACTTGAATGTCATTCAGTGGCGTCATTTATTCATCAGCTGAATCGCAAGTTTTCAATGGAATTCTTTCTGGGTAACAGCACATGATGTTCACTGTTTGACCACCATTTCGATATACACCGATTTCGAAGATCGTTGTCGCACCAAGAGCCTCAAGTAACAAGCCAAGGCCGCAGAGAATGTTGGTACTTTTAATTATAATTGATTTATTCATGGTCCATGCAAGTGGCTATAGCTCTCCACTAATTATCGTCTCAAGCAGCCTTGCTTGGAGCAATTTGTGAAGTTAATAAATGAAAAATGCACCATGAATAAACTAATTACAGCTAACAGTACTGGTGTTCTCTGCGGTCTTGGCTTGTTGCTTGAGGCTTTTGGTGCGACAACGATTTCTGAAATAGGTGTACATGTGATAAGGTTTCAAGACTTTTATCAGATTAGCTGATTATATTACGTAACACCCAGCAATGTATTGCCCTACTTTAGACTACACTAGTACTGTAATTGCATGGGCTTATACGTAACCTGGGGGAGAGCTGTGAGGCTATATATRACCAGGATTCTACAGTACCAAATGTCATTTACAATAATCTACATATGGTTGAATTTTTGATAGGAATTAATCAAAGAAACGATCAAAAGAGCAATGGCAGCACGTAAAGCTTGGGAAAGAACCCCTTTTGATGAAAGGTAATATAGCATAATAAGTATTTTTAAGTGAATATAATAAATCTGGTTCGCTCATTGGTCACAATGGACACTTTTGGAGTTCCAAATTACTGCTTTGTTTCTTGATTACAGACTCATTTACTCAGGCTTAGCCTCGATTTTGTGAAGAATATTCACTTGTTCCAGTCAAGGTCCGTCAAGTTTCAAAGTGTTCGTATTGTTGAAGTAATTGTGCATTCTTTACTTTACCGTTGGTATTTGTGAGTAATTAGACACTGATTCAAGGCGAAGCCTGAGTAAATGAGTCTGTAATCAAATTTGTGCTGCTTGCAGAGATATATAGAATTTAACCAAAAAACCCTCTTTCTCCGTTATTTATTAAATTAACTTGTGTTAAAAATACTAAAACGGGGAATATTGGGGAATATTTAACACGCCACTCAAAGACTCACGTCTTGGTAAATATTCACTGTGTCTGATGCTAATATTTGTTAAAATAATATATTTTATTGAAAACATTTTCAAGGGTTTGAGTTGAAGTTTGGGATGAATAGTAAATGGTTATATTATTCTTTTATCTTACTAATCAATGTGTTGTCAACAGCATAAAAGTATGATACCAGCTCTACCTAAAACGCCAAATAAAATATGTCTACTCTTTTAATGATGATGGGGGGAGGGGGGGGGGGTCATTACACTGGATGACTGGATTGTAAAAAAATGTCATATCAGAGTTCCTCATTTTTTTTTTCAGGGCTGCAATTTTTGAACGATTCTTGGATCTTTTGTGTGGAAAATACAGATATGAATTTCTGGCAACAACGATGGTTGGACAGGTAAAGTTATTGGCTAAAGGGGATACCAGATGTATATATGAATTATATTATATATCTGGTCATATGGGTGCTATAAACTTCAACATATTCAAGATGTGATTTGAGTGTTTTGTTTTCCAAGTGGAACAAACCTCACAGAATATCTCATAATATCATAAAAAGAATTTTTTTTAAATGACTTAATTAAAGGCCTATACTATAATAGAATGCTAACTTTCCTACTATCATTATTAGCACACAACAACAAAAATAAAATCTATTTGCTGATTTTAATTTTAAGTACCAGTTATTTCACAAGGGTAATCTGTTTTCTTCTTCATCCATAGGGTAAGACTGCCTATGAAGCAGATATTGATTGTGTTCTAGAACTGGCTGACTTTTACAGATTTGACATCTACAATGGAAAGGTAAGCATCTCAAATTTTTGTTTTTCAGGGTTAAAATAATATTAAAGAATCCTAGTCAAGTACAATCAGGGTTGTCAATAAAATTTTTGGTAGGAGGTTCTGAAATTAAAATAGGCGGTAAATCACTGGAGCATTTAACTGAGGCATACTTGTCAGCAGTCTCACTCTTCTCACAAAAATTCAAGATGGCGGACGACAATCATTGTAGTTTTATTTCGTCGCAGTTTTTGTAGTACAGCAACAAAGATTGAGTTAAAATTAATTTTAACGAACTTTAAAGAACTTTAATCAAAATTTACAATTACATTGGGAAGTGGCTAAGGTTGCCGGCTTCTATTGAAAACCCTGTACAATGCATTGCATGCCGGAATCAAAACAATCGGCCATTTTCTCTGCCAGGCAATATGGCGGTGTTGTAGGTGAAGTTTGAAGATCCAGTTCCCTCTGTCTTGCCTTCCTGCTAGACGTTTTAAGATAAGCAGAAAAAAAATGAAAAGTAGACATTTTATGCTTTCCGTGAGATTTTTCAAATTTTGGCAGTCCATAAATTTCCTCAGTCTCCCATCTCTGCCATCACTGGGATGTAGACAAAGGATATAAACAATAATATAGGGGTGCAATGCAATGTAGTTGACTAGGATTCTTTAATAATATATATAATAATATTTATTATTATGTACCTAACCTTGACAACATTTTCTAAATACTTTTGTACATTGATCTTTAACAGAGACTTCTTGAAGGGCCTGAGCTTCACCAACCACAGGGAGTGAAAAACTCCTTTATTTACCGTGGTTTGGAGGTGGGTATACACGGCTAATTTATTATAATCATTATAGGTTCTGTGTGCTGTATTACTTAATAGAGCATGGTATTGTTTGGCGAAGCAAGGGGGCAAGGGAAGGCAATAGTTTTCACAATATGAGCCTGGGACCTCACTATATTTTTATTAGCTTTTAAATATATTTTTTATGTGTAGGGTTTTGTAGCAGCTGTTGCACCTTTTAACTTCACGGCAATCGGTGGCAACCTTTCTGGTACCCCAGTCATCATGGGTAATGTTGTACTATGGAAACCAGCAAGTACAGCTATCTTGTCTTCGTATCGTGTGATGGAGATGTTCGAGGAGGCTGGTCTTCCAGATGGTGAGCATGTTACTATTTATAATCAGGGCTTAAATGAAGGGCAGGACGCCGGACAATGTCTGTCCAGAACTGCTGGGACTTGACAGATCAAATCTTTGCCTTGCTGGTCATTTTATCCATTAATGTATAGTCGGAAATGAGGTGTGTTTAAGTTATAACTACTGTAATTTGGCCTGTGATCATGACTGGCGACTGATTTGCTGTTATTTTAAGCCCTGATAATTTTTCTCTTTGCCTCTACAGTGTATGTTCACCAAAAAGTAAATTTGCAATATGACCGTCATTTGTTTTTCAAGGGTATACATGTGCACTCATAATGCAGTTGCTAACAAACATGGCCCTTGTTCCATGGTGGAATTGGAATTTAGAAGTTGATTTTTGTGAAAGGGAGAAAATCCAGTGAACGTCATGTTGATAACATCTACTGTAACTCCCAAAAAAGTTGTTTGTCTCTATAATTCCTTTGGTCTTTTCACGTGGGTAAACTGCTAAGCGTGCTTACTGGCAAGATGTGCGAAAACTGCAAAGCATCAGTGATAAACCGTCAATGTTTTTGGGCATGACAGTAGACAATGACATGTAATCATGGGTGTTTTTTTTTGTCTGGGTCCAGCAGTTTGCTTGCACCTGTAGTACCAACTCCTCTCACATATAACATCAAGTTTGGGATTCAAGTCCGGGTTGCTTGAGGAGATACGAGCTTTCCCAGTTGGCTATGAATTGAATATTTTATGAATCGATCATGATCATGGATATTTGTTTGATCGGGTTTCGTACGTTGTAATAATTGCCAAAAACTAATCTAAAATGCCTTACAAATGTTTATATAAAGCTTTACTACTGCTAAATAAGTTACTGGTATATATGTGTTACTGGTTTGACAATTTCCTTAAGTGAAAAACTCCGGGCGACTTGACCGTAATTCATTTACACCACCAGTGCTTCTATCTTTGAATTCTTTTTTTTCCTTATTATTTCTTCCACTGGACTGAACAAGCACATATCAACCTTCTCTCATGTTTAYGTAGGTGTCATGAACTTCATTCCCAGCTCTGGACCAGCCTTTGGCGAGAGTATATCCACTTCACCACATCTTGCAGCTGTCAATTTCACTGGAAGTGTAGGGTAAGCTGACGTTGATGTGTTCTTACAAAATGATTTCAATTGATAGAAGACTAAACAGTCTGTCTTTCTTTTACTTATAGAACATTCAAAACCATCTGGCAGAATGTAGCTAAAAACTTGGATGTTTACAGGTAAGATGGCATAAGGACTGTAGTTACAATACAATACAATACAATTTTATTTGGCACCTTATACTAATAGTACATGAGTGTTTGATTCCAAATATATTATAGGTATATATATATA